GCCCCAAGAAGACTTTCCACATCAAGCAGATGTTCACCTGCACATCTGCTAATGTGGTATACTGCATCCGCTGTACCCGTTGTGGCCTCCTCTACATCGGGGAAACCAAGCGGAGGCTCGGGGACTGCTTTGCAGAACACCTACGCTCGGTTTGCAATAAACAACTGCACCTCCCAGTCGCGAACCATTTCAACTCCCCCTCCCATTCCTCAGACGACATGTCCATCCTGGGCCTCCTGCAGTGCCACAACGATGCCACGCGAAGGTTGCAGGAACAGCAACTCATATTCCGCTTGGGAACCCTGCAGCCCAATGGTATCAATGTGGATTTCACAAGCTTCAAAATCTCCCCTCCCCCTACCGCATCCCAAAACCAGCCCAGCTCATCCCCGCCTCCCTAACCTGTTCTTCCTCCCACCTATCCCCTCCTCCCACCTCAAGCCGCACCCCCATCTCCTACCTACTCACCTCATCCCTCCCCCTTGACCTGTCCCCTCCCTAACTCCCTACCTACACTCACCTTTACTGGCTCCATCCCCGCCTCTTTGACCTGTCTGTTTCCTCTCCACCTATCTTCTCCTCTATCCATCTTCTATCCGCCTCCCCCTCTCTCCCTATTTATTTCAGAACCCCCTTCCCCTCCCCCATTTCTGATGGGTCTAGGCTCGAAACGTCAGCCTTCCTGCTCCTATGATGCTGCTTGGCCTGCTGTGTTCATCCAGCTCTGCACCTTGTTATCTCAGATTCTCCAGCATCTGCAGTTCCTACTATCTCTGGTCTGAAATGCATGTGTTTCAATGCAACAAATATAATTGGCAAGATAGATGAACTCAGAGTGTTGGTTAGTACTTGGAACTATGACATTATTGTGATGACAGAGACTTGGCTAAAAGACGGAGAGGACTGGCTGCAAAACGTCCCAGGATTTAGATGTTTCAAGAAAGGGATGAAAAAGGGGTGGGGGAGTATCTCACAGCTATACTGAGGGAGGATACATAAGAGGACTCATTCGTTGAGGCAGTATGGGTGAACTCAGGAACAGGAAAGGTGAAATCACAATGCTGGGGGTATATTGCAGCCTTCCCTACAGCCAAAGAGAGAATATGTAGACATATTTTGGAAAGATGTAAAGCAGGGTTGTTGAGAAGGGTGATTTTAACTTCCCTGTATTGACCAGGACTCACTTCGTGCTAGGGGCTTGGATGGAGCAGAATTTGTACAAACCATTCAGGAAGATTTCTTGACACAATATGTAATCAGTCCAACCAGGGAAGGAGTTATACTGGACCTAGCTTTGGGAAACGAGCCTTGCCAAGTGAGTGCAGTTTCAGTTGGGGAGCATTTTGGGAGTAGTGACCATAATATACCAAGTTTTAAGGTACTCATGGATAGTGATAACAGCATTCCTTGGGTGAAGGTGTTAAATTGGGGGAAGATGAACGACAACAATATTAGGCAAGAACTGGAGAATTTTGATTGGAGGCAGCTGTTTGAGGTAAATCCACATCGGACATGTGGGAGTATTTCAAATGGCAGTTGATAAGATTTCAGGAGCGGCATGTTCCTGCGAGAATGAAGGATAGATATGGCAAGCTACATGAACCTTGAATGACCAGTGATGTTATGACCTTGGTCAAAAAGAGAAAGGAAGCCTAGGTAAGGTCTAGGAGGATGGGAACTGACAAAGGGAATGTATGGAACCAGGATAGGTGAGGTCCTAAATGAATACTTTGTATCGGTATTCACCAAAGAGAAGGAATTGATGGAGGATGATCTCAGGGAAGGGAGTGTCGAATTTCTAAGCCAAGTTGCTATTAAAATGGAAGGGGTGTTGTGCATCTTAAAAAGTGTTAAGACAGATAGATCTCCGGGTCTTGATAGGATCTATCCCAGAATATTGAGGGAGGCAAGAGAACAAATTGCTGGAGTATTTACAGACATCTTTGTATCCTCTTTGGCCATAGGGGAGGTCCCAGAGGACTGGAGAATAGCTAATGTTGTCTGATTGTTTAAAAAGGGTATCAGGAATAATCCAGGGAATTACAGGCCTGTGAGCCTCACGTCAGTGGGAGGAAAATTATTGGAAAAGACTCTCAGGGACAGGATCTATAGGCATTTAGAAGCACATGGACTGATTAGCAATAAATAGCATGGTTTTTTTGCGGGGGAGTTCGTGACTCACTAACTTGACTGAGTTTTTTGAGGAAGTGGCAAAGATGATTGATGAGGGTAAAACAGTTGGTGTTGTCTACATGGACTTCAGTAAAGCCTTTGACAATGTTCCTCATGACAGACTAGTATAAAAGGTGAAGTCACACGGTATCAGGGGTGAGCTGGTAAGATGGATACAGAACTGCCTTCGTCATAGGAGACAGAGGGTAGCGATGCTTTTCAAAATGGAGGGCTGTGACTAGTGGTGTTCCACAGGGATCATTACTGGGACTTCTGCTGTTCATAATCTACATAAATGATTTGGAGGAAAATGTAACTTGTCTAGTTAGTAAGTTTGCGGATGATACAAAGATTGGTGGAGTTGCGGATAGTGAAGAGGATTGTCGGACAATACAGCAGGATATAGATCAGTTGGCAGCATGGGCAGAAAAATGGCAGATGGAGCTCAATCCAGATAAATGTGTGGTCATGCATTTTGGAAGGTCAAGTATAGGTGGAAATTATACAGTGAATGGCAGAACCCTTAGGAGTATTGATATGCAGGGATCTGGGTGTACAGGTCCACATATCATTGAAAGTGGCAGAACAGATAGATAAGGTAGAATTTAAGGCCTATGGTACGCTTGCCTTCATTTGAAGGGGGATTCAGTACAAAGGTTAGGCAAGTTATGCTGCAGCTTTGTAGAACTTTAATTGGACCAAACTTGGAGTATTGTGTACAGTTCTGGTCACGACACTATCAGAAGGATGTGGATGCTTTGGGGAGGGTACAGGAAATGTTTTACAGGATGTTCCCTGGTATGGGGGATTTTAGCTATGAAGAAAGGTTGGATAGACTGGGTTAGTTTTCACTGGAATGAAGGAGGTTGAGAGGCGACCTGAAAGAAGTTTATAAGGTTGTGAATGGCATGGATAGACTGGAATGTATGAGGCTTTTTCCCAGGGTGGAGGGGTCAATTACTACGGGACACAGGTTCAAGGTGCGAGGGGCTAAGTTTAAAAGAGATGTGCGAGGCACGTTTTTCCACACAAAGGGTGGTGAGTGCCTGGAACATGTTGCCAGAGGTGGTGTGGAAGCAGACACAATAACGGCATTCAAGAAGCACATGGATGAATACATGAATAGGAAGGGAATAGAAGGATATGGATCCAGTAAGCAAAGACAATTTTAGAATGGAAGGGCAAAATGTGTCAGCACAGGCTTGAAGAGCCAAAGGGCCTGTTCCTGTGCTGTATTGTTCTTTGTTCTTCTAATTGTAGGTCCCTTACAATCAGAAACAGGGGAAGTTATAATGGCAAATAAAGAGATGGCAGACTAATTATTATATATTTTGGTTTGTCTTCACAAAGGAGGACACAACTAACATCCCAAAAATGTTGGGGAATACATGATCGAGTAAGAAGACGGAACTGAGAGAAATCAGTATGAATAAGGAAATGGTATTGGGGAAATTGATGGGATTAAAGGCCAATAAATCCACGGTGTTTGATAATCCACATTCTATGTACTTAAGGAAGTACCCCAAAAATTGTAGATGCATTGGTTTTTATCTTTTAAGATTCTATAGACTCTGGAACAGTTCTGTGGGTTGGAGGGTAGCTAATGTAACCCCTCCATTTAAAATAGGAAGTAGAGAGAAAACATGGAATTATCGACCACTTAGCCTGACATTGGTAGTTGGGAAAATGTGAAAGTACATTATAAAAGATTTAATAGCAGGACATTTGGAAAACAGTGACAAGACTGGGCAATGTCAGCATGGATTTATGAAAGGGAAGTCATACTTGACAAATCGACTGGAATTTTTTAAGGAAATTAGGTAGTAGAGTTCAAAAGGGAAGCTAACGAATGTATTTTACTTGGATTTTCAGAAGGCTTTGGATAAGGTCCCACATAAGAGATCAGCACATAAAATTAAAGCATTTGGGATTGGCTGCAGAGTACTGACATGGACAGAGAACTGGCTAGCAGACAGGAAATGAAGATTTGGACTAAATGGGTAATTTTACAAGTAACAGCCAGTGACTAGTAGGGTAAAGCAGGGAACAGCACCTGAAGCCCAGCTATTCACAATATAAACTGATGATTCAGATGGCGGAATTATATGTTACATTTCTAAGTTTGGAGACGATACAAAGCTGGGTGAGAGATTCAGAGATTATTACCTATGAGGTCTGCTTTGTAATTTTGTGCTCGGTTTCTCATTATGACAACGCAGAACCTCTTTCCTTGTCCTGTGTATGTCATAGATTTTGAGGCAACATTTATCAATTTAGAAAGTGCTAATCAGGAGTTTGATGTAATACTCTCATGTTGCCTCAATGACTGCAACCCCAATAACTCTCAATAATTTTGACACCATGTATGACAAAACTTGACTGGCACCCAAACCGTCACCTTAACATCAGTTCCTTCCATTGTGTGTGAAACATGGCTGCAGTGAAAATTATCTACCAGCAATACAGGTGAATGTATACCACATTGAATGTGGAGGCTTATGCTGGCAGCTACACCAAGATCCTTTGGACAAAAAAAAATGATTACTGATACAATTTGTTCAAAATATCTTCTGAAAATCTTCAGCTGCAATCTTTTTACAGTAAGTGGATTTTTTAATCTTCAGAATAGAACATACCATCACCTACTCAAGGGCTTTTAGGGATGGCCAATAGCAGGTCTCATCAGCAACCCCAACACATTCTAGTGAAAAAATTAAGAATTCATATTTTACAATGACATGATAAAATTAACTCACTTCCTTTTTTTAATCTTAAAGTATTGCTACATAGTCTAACAGTAACAACACTTATGTGCTTTGCCAGGGGACTTTATTATAGTATGATACCTTGTAGAAATGGCATGTTACACGGATATATAAGAATGACACAAATGGTTTACCAAGTGATAAGTGCACAGGTTGCAGAGCCAAAATATTAGAATGTAGAATTTCTGTAGGAGTTCCCTCAAATACTCGCTGTAACTTTAATGAAGTAATCTCTCAAACCCCAAAGAAACAGTATAAATGCCATTTACAGTATTTTCCAGGATTTCTATGGATACTTCACCAAAGTTAACAGTAGATGATTGGATGAACTATGAAAAATTCATTGCCTAGAGATAAATAATGATTTCCCCAACAATACTAAAGACATGAGTATGAAGTGTAAAGGAGATTTTTTTTTACAGGCATCACTTAAAATGTTATTAGAAATGTGTACACAAATATCACCACTGCACAAAGTCATTTGTAATAATTTTCAAAATATTTAGTTTCTAAGGATCATATGTTCAGATAGCTAAGAAACTACAGAAACAAAATTGGTAGCAAATTCAGGATAACTTTCACAGTTTATCAGAAATCTAATAAAAAAATCATGAAATAAACATTTGGTCAACCTTTCTTCCACACCCTTATTCACTTATTGCGGGATTAATTTGTTTTTTTAATTTCTAAAATCTATTGCATGTTATAACAAAGTGACACTTGCTTAAAAAAATCAAAAACACAATTTTCATACTAAAACTATACTGATTTGTTTCATTAAACATTAATTAACTATTACAAGTTTCAAGCTTGACAGTTTGGCTAAAAGATTCTAAGCATAAACCATTCTTGTACAGGAACCTTGTTGTACATAGCACTGTATTTTCACAGAAAAGACTTAACTGTTTTAGTATCTGTACTCCTATAAGTGAAATGCATGATTTCATCTACAGTGTAAAGAAATCCTTGGCAATCCGATCGGAGGTACATGAAAACTAGGATATACTATAGGTTTGTTTTTTTCTATTTCTCAGTTTTACATCTCACTCTGAAGGGTGGTATCACAGTGCTCAATAAAAGTGAAAAAATACTTTGGGACTTTCAGTCTCCAGTCAGTTCATAAAATTATTTACATAAATATAAGCATCCTATTTTTTAAAAGCAATAACTTTTTATTCTAATCACAATTTATATTCTGCTTACTGTAAATAAATAAAGTTCACATAAAGATCTATACTTTGATTGGTATACAACACATGCTTATTAACAAAGACAAAGTAGTGCACAAAGTTCCATTTACAAAAGAGAATTTGTTGAACACTTGCACATATTGGCACGAGGTATAAATTAGAAACCAAAGAAAATGCAGTGGCCAACGGCATTGAAATAAAGAAACAATATTCGCATAATCCAAGATTCAACTGCTTTCTTCAGCAGATCGCGATTCAGATTTCAGTTTGACAAATTCTTTTGCTACTTCATCATTGGTTCTTTGTGATAGTATACGAAGAACTGTTAGTCCTGTCTCATCCATATGCATTCTGCGGCCTAGTGGACACCAGCAAGCACAACTGCCTTTTTCTGCAATATCTCGTAGCTGGATTAAAGCAATCCCAATTATACGATCTTCTCTGGCAAAGCAATAATCCTTCACACAGACTTGAAGTTCATATGAGTCTGGACCATCCTCATTACCCAATATACTGTAAGACGAAGAAAGGAAAAAAACCTTTAATTCTCTGATTTGTTGTGACATGTTAACTCAACATTGCTTTGAAGCATCAAAAATAGTTAAAGACAGTCAATGAATAACATATTAAATTTAGGTTCTAGTCTTAAACTTTACATAATATAGGCCCTGAATTCTTGGGGTTCTAACGACCCAACTATAATTCAAGTGTAATATGTTGAAAATGACATGTACCCAGATGCACTGTGTTTCGGCCATTTGCAGTATTTTCTGAGATAACAAGATGTAGAGCTGGATGAGCACAGCAGTCAGGCAGCATCAGAGGAGCATGAAAGCTGACGTTTCGGGTCTGGACCACCCGAAACGTCAGCTTTCCTGCTCCTCTGATGCTGCCTGACCTGCTGTGTTCATCCAGCTCTACACCTTGTTATCTCAGATTCTCCAGCATCGGCAGTTCCTACTAGTTTCCAGTATTTTCTGTGCAGCTTATAAGATACAGAAGTTTACTGATTCCATTAAAGGGGAAATATGATCCTGTTGAGAAGGATTTTTTGTTGGGTACTTCTTTTCCCTGACTCCGATAGTATATTGCATGTTACTGGAGACTGGCACAATGAATGAGATAAGGAATATTGACCTTTGAGTATGAGGTAATATTGGCCACAAGAAGTAGCTAATGTAAGTAGCATCAATGGACTTAAGAAGAAACCAGGCAAGTGGAAGGCAGTGGTTTAATGGTTATGTCTCTGGAGTATTAGTCCAGAGCCCTGGACTGACACTGTGGGGACAAGGTTCAAATTCCACAATAGTCTAAAATTTGGATCCATTTAAAACAGATCTGGAATTAAAAGCTAGCTTAACGGCAACCGAGAAACTAACAATTATCGATTATCGTGAAAACCATTTGGTTCACTACCATCTTTCGAGCAGAAAATTGGACTTAACCAGGTGAATCTACATGTGACTCCAGACTTACAGCAATGTGGTCAACTCTTAAAGGCCTAACATTGCAATCAGTTAAAGGGATAACTAGGGATTGGCAACAAATGCTGGCCTTGCCAGTGATGCCTACATCCTACATAAGAGTTAAAAAAACACGAGGGAAAAGGGAATAGAAAAATATGTAGATAGGATTAAATAAAGTATGATGGGAAGAAGTTCACTCCTAGCACATAAAAACCAGCACATACCAGCTGAATATTTCAACGAATTTAAGAGGAGTAGCCTATACAGCCCCTTAAGCCAATATGCCATTCAACTAATTATAGTTGATCTAAAGATGCCAATTTCTACCAATAAATGTGTGACTGTGATAGTGTGACTGTGGTTGGTGTAATTCCCAGCATAGAAATTCCTCTCTTGACCCTACCATTCTTCCCTTAAGGGTTGTGTTTGGAGTGGATTGTGTCCATCCTAAATTCCTGGGCAAATTTTAATCTGATTAAATTCTAGGGGAAACCTGATATCCTTAGATTTTTTGCAAAAATCCAGTGTCTGCTGGTTGTTCTGTACCATAGATCTTCCCTTGGAGCAATGCTGGTCAGAAGAAATTTGGATCCTGTATCATTAGCCGTGGATTCTTTCACTTTCCTACATAAAAAAGGAGCCACTCTATTCTTTGTCATTTCTGCACACTCTGTGCAGATTCTGAAGAAAAGTAATTTGGGACTTGAAACATTAACTCTGTTTCTCTCCACAGGTGCTGCCTGAGTTGCTGAGATTCTCCAGCACTTTCTATCTTTATTTTATGCCCAAGTGTAGCATGGTTTCTTTTCACTTTGAAATGATTCAATCCTTCCCTGAGTATACGTTTATTCCCCAAGTACATACATATTAAAAGAAACTTTCACATGGATTATCTTTGTTGCTGTTTGTATCTTAAGTGTATGAATTTTGATAATGCTTACATAAAATTATTGCATATAAATCCAATATTTACTCACAAGTGAAATGTCTCATTGTATTTTGGAGCCCAGTTGTTGCTCTTTGATTTTGTGGTAAACTTCCTTTTCTTGTCACTAAGGTGTGGTCCAATCATCGTGACCTCAACAAATGGCCGAAACATACCATTTGTCTGCCATTTTAGATCATTAGCTGCTACCACTGAAAAACATCAATCATCTCAGGCTTTTTTAACTGGTTCAAGAAACCTCATAACAAATTCCAGAAAAAATGTTGAACCTTTGTAAAAATCACTATGACTTGTTGAAGTCATCGATTTCCTGAACTTTGAATCATTCCATCCAAAAGTAATAAAAATAAAAATAAAATAAATAATTTGTCAGAAAATTGATGGTGATTACCAGCATTATACTCCTGTGTGTGCCTTAACTGTACTATGCAAAATCACAATATAACATTATATTCTGCTGGTCACACTTTATATTGAGAAGCTGCATCAAAAATACTCAGTGCTATTGATTTTAACTAAAACAGGCTGATAAAACTAACCAATCATTTTCTAAAGATATATCAGATCTCAGCTGCAGACTTGAGGTGAAATATATAAAATTGAAAAAAAATTAATAAATCAAAGATGAAAATTAAATGCTTTTTTTTGCTTTACACATCTCCAACACAAAGATACTGAAAAAAGCTTCGATTGCAAGTCATGAATTGATGGCAATATTTTCCTGCAGTTGGGGCATTATAGCATGCACAAGGAGGAATGACATAAACTAATTACAGAAAAATCTAGGATCACAGCTAAATGTCGTGTCACAATTAAAAATCTTGCTGATGGTACAAAAATTGGCTGTGTGGTTAACAGTGTGAAATGCTTTCTCGTTAGAGAGGGATGACTGGTGATGGTTTATTCTGAGGTTCACCACACCTCAGGCAACAGGAGAAGTTGAGAAGGATAGACCTCAACTGGTGCACAAATTGAAACTATGTTGTCAGCATCCCTTTACATTACAAACCAGCTGTCCAGCCAACTGAGCCAACCAACTCCCGGAAAAAAACAGGAGACTTAGTTGGCCAGTTTTGATTACCCCAGTTTAGAAAGGATGTGAATGTACTTTGCAGGCTGCAGAGGAGATTTAATATAATAGATTTAATATAAAGAAGCTCAGGATTGTTCTCCTTGGAACAAAGGAGATCGAATGCTTGAAGATAATGTCTCAACACCTTCTCAAGGGCAAATACGATGGGCATATAGTCAGCAATGTTCATATCCAGTGAACACATAATTAAAAAAAAACAGGGAAGTTCGCAGAAGTAGTGCAGATTTCTAAAATCATTCCATCAGGTGCCACACAAAAGATTAACAAACCAGATTCAGCTAAGGTATTAGTATGGATAGCCAAATTGTAAATGGAAAAGAGGAACGAAGAGGGTTCTCGTTGACAGACTGCGCTAGGAAAAAAACATAGTGAGCAGCAGTCTTTCAATTTAGCACAGTTGCAGCTTGTCAGTTTCACTAAAGTTTTCTGGGTTTGCCAGTCCCATGCTGTCACCAGTTGAACCTGATGAGTTGCAGACTATTTGGGAAATGAACATGCTGGCTGTTAATGACAAGCAAATGAAATCCAGGGACCAAAGGATCAGGCAGGCCCTGGTGAGGGGGTGGGAGGGAGTGGTTGAGGCTTGGGGGTGCATTGCTGCAGGGATATTGAATTCTGGCCAGCATTTATTACCCAAAGTTGCCCTTGAGAAGGTGGTAAGCTATATTCTTGAACCACTGCAATTCATTTGGTGTCAGTCAACCCACAATGTCATGAGGGAGGAAGTCCCAGGATTTTGACCCAGCAACATTGAAGGAAACAGTGATATATTTCCAAATAAGGATGATGAACAGGAATTTGGGGTGGTGATATATTGCATATATTTGAGGCCTTTCTCTATATTTGCTTCTCAATTTCCCTCTATTAGGGCGGGGGGTGGGGGGGAGGGTGGGCTCCAGTACAATCCTATCAAGGTGATCATCCTTTTCTTATTTCTAATTTCAACCCATATATTTTCACTGAATGATCCCTCAGAATATCTTCTCTGATTACAGTAGTAATGCTTTCCTTAATCAAAAATGCCAATCCCCATCCTCTCCTGCCTCTTTTCCTATCCTTCCTATAACATCTAAAACCCAGAACATTGAGTTGCCAGTCTTGTCCTTCCCTCAGCCAAGTTTCTGTAATAGCTGCAACATCTCAGTTCCATGTTTCCATACGTGCCCTGAATTCATCAGCCTTACCTGAAACACCTTTTGCATTGAAATAAATGCATTTTAATTCTTCAGAGTTATTTTGTTCCCTGACTTGCACATCTGTCATTTGTAATTAACTTTCTCTTTTCTGTTTCATAACCAACCTCCTCTTTCTTTTTATTTTCACTGTTACTTAGGAAGCAACAACCCCAGCCCCCAACCCAACCTCCACAACCTCAAAGTTTACAGGCTCCCGAAGTAGAACTAGCAAATCTCCTTGCCAGGATATTGGTCCCTTTCCAGATTAGGTGAAACCCATCCTTTTAGAAAAGGTCTTTTCTGTCCCAGAAGAGATACCAATGATCCAAGAAACTGAATCTCTGCACATTGCACATCTCTTCAGCCACTTATTTATCTGCCCTAATCTTTTATTCCTTCCCTCATTAGAGCTTGGCACTGGAAATAAACCAGAGATTACTACTTTTGATGTTCTGTTTTTTAACCTTCTACCTAACCTCTTATATTCACTCTGCAAAGCCTTAACCCTTTCCCTAACTATGTCATTTCTACCAATGTGTGCAATAACTTCCACTTCTCACTTGACAATGAGATTCAAACAATTTGAGACGTCCTTAACCCAGGCATCAGGAAAACAACATACTGTCCTAGATTAGAGATAACAAGGTGTAGAGCTGGATGAACACAGCAGACTAAGCAGCATCAGAGGAGCAGGAAAGCTGACGTTTCGGGTCTGGACCCTTCTTCAGAAAAATGTCCTAGATTCATGCTTCCTGTCGCAGAATCTCCTGTCTGAGCCCCTGATTTGACTCTGCTTTCTCCCTGCTGGTCCCGGAACTCACCACCTATGTCCGGGATACCACCCATGCCCTCCACCTCCTCCAAGACTTCCAATTCCCTGGCCTCCAACACCTCATCTTCACTATGGACATCCAATCCCTGTACACTTGCATTCACCACGCAGATGGCCTAAAAGCCTTCCGCTTCTTCCTCTCCCACAGGTCCAACCAGTCCCCCTCCACCAACACCCTCATCCGCTTAACTGAGCTCGTCCTTACCCTTAGCAACTTCTCCTTTAACTCCTCCCACTTCCTACAGACGAAAGGAGGTGGCCATGACACTGGCACTATCCCCCACCTATTCTTCCGCTACATCGATGACTGTATCGGTGCTGCCTTGTGCTCCCACAAGGAGCTTGAATAGTTCATCAACTTTACTAACACCTTTCACCCCAACCTCAAGTTCACCTGGACCATCTCTGATACCTCTCTCTCCTTCCTGGACCTCTCTGTCTCTATTTCTGGTGACTGCCTCGAAATCAACATCTATTTCAAGCCCGCCAACTCCCACAACTACCTCGACTACACCTCCTCTCTCCCACCTTCCTGCAAGAATGCGATCCCCTACCCCCAATTCCTCTGCCTCCGCCGTGTCTGCTTTCAAGATGGGGCGTTCCACTCCCGAACATCCCAGATATCCTCTTATTTCAAGGACCGCAACTTCCCCCCTTCGGTGGTCGAAAATGCTCTCAACCGCATCTCTTGTGTTTGGATTGGATAACTGCAAACATTATGTCCCTGTTCAAAAATGGCTGTAAGGAAAACCCCAACAATTACAGAGCAGTCAGTTTAACTTTGGTAGGAGGGCAAACTCTGTAAACAATAATTCAGTATCGAATTAATATCACATGGGCAGATGAATTAAATGTGGAGAGCCAATGCTGAATTCTTAAGGGAACGTCTCATTCAACTAACTTCCTGGAGCTCCTTGAAATGATAACAGAGAGGACTGACTTGGGTGATGTTGTCGATGTGCCTTCCGAAGGCATTTGATACAATGCCACAAAACAGACTGGTGAAAGAAATTATAGCATGACGAGAATAGCATGTAGATACAAAATTGGTTGTATGACAGGAAAGTGAGAGTAATGGTTAATGGATATTTTTCATGCTGCATAAAGGTTTGCAGTGGCACTGTCTGGGAGTCAGTATTAGGATCATTACTTTTCCTGATTTATATTAAATGAACTAGACTTGGAGGGAACAAAACTTGGAAGCATTATAACCCGAGGAAGACAGTGCTAAACTTCAAAAGGATGTTGACATGTTGGTGGAATGGGTAGGTAGGTGGCAGATGAAGTTTAATGTGGAGATAGTGTTATATTCTGGAGAGACAGTATAAAGCAAAGGCTACTATGCTATAAGGTATGCAGGAACAGAGAGACCCTGGCAGATAAATTATTAAATGTGGCAGGTCAGGTAGATAGCTGTTGACAAAACATACATGATCCTAGACTTTATTGACTATGGCAGAGAGTTCAAGAGCAGGCTGGTTATGCTGAACCTACACCTGGTTAGACCTCAGCTAGAGAACTTCTGCAGTTATGGGTGCCACCCTTTAGGTAGGATGTCATTGCATTGGACAGACTGAAAAAGAGATTTATGAGACTGATTCCAGGGATGAGAAACATCAATCACAGTGATGGATTGGTGAAGTTGGGACTATTTTCCTTTGAGAGGAGAAGGCTACGAGGAGATTTACAGGAAGTTTTCAAAATAATGACGATTCTAGACAGAGTAGACAAGGAGATACTGGTCCTGCTCATAAATGGATCAAGAAGGAGGTGATGAAGCCTTAACATGCTTTGCAAAAGAAGGAAATGCGATGTGTGAGGAAACCTTTACATGCAGCAAGTGTTCGGGTCTGGAATGCAGAGGCAGGTTCAATCAAAGCATTCAAGAGGGTGTTAGTTGGTTGTTTAAAAAGAAATAATATGCTGGGCTAAAGGAAAAGGCAGAAGATGGTACTAAGTCATAATGCTCATTCATTAAACAGTGCAGACAGAATTGGCCAAAAGGCCTCCTTCTACAGTATAATAATTCTGTGACTTTTGACGATTCCAAAGAAGATCTTCCAAAGTGAACAATTGGAATCCCTTGTGAACTTTTGAAGAGGTTTGGTGAAATATACATGGGACCCTGGTTTGACTACATTTGCTATTTAACGCACTGAGGGTTGTTAAACCACAGTTTGTCAATTAACCATATTTATTTCATGTTAATTCTGGATGTTTGAATACAGGTTGCAGACACAGTCATACAGCATGTAAACAGACCCATTGATCCAACTTATCCGCGCCAGCCAGACATCCCAATCTGATCTAGTCCCATTTGCCAGCATTTAGCCCATATTCCTCTAAAGTTTCCTATTCATGTACCTATCCAGTGCCTTTTAAATATATGTTGCTGCTTGCATTACTATTTTAATTTTATACTCTACATGTTATGCTATTTATTCAAAATTGTTGAATCTTATGGCTTTATTCTCTTTTCAAGTACCTGGAATCTCACACTTCTTCTACTTCAAAAATAAATGACCAGTCCCTAGCCAAACTGTAACATAAATTTGGTGGTCTCATCAGGGATCTTAAGGCTATTAACATTAGCAGTTTCTCATGATTACACTACAAAATCCAGGGAAAGCTGAACTATATGATATGGTATTTCTGCCTTTCAAAGAACAGTGTAATGAGCAATGACACAAGAGACCTGCTAGCTTCTTAAAATACTGCAAATTGGAAAGTTATAAACAATTACTACCAGAAAAACATACTGAGGGAATAAGAATCAGATGTAGTAGCTAAGGAATGAATTTAAAACAGTAAAATTGTAAGAAAAATTAACAAATTATCAGCAGGAGAAAGTTTTGAACTGCAATCAATTTGCCACCTTTTCATGTGTATGGAGGAGATGGAAGGTAGCTTCTTTGAAGTTTAACAGCCAGAAAAACTGACTTCAAACCATGTACTTTGGAAAAGTTTTCCAGATTGATGTGTTGGAGCCTGGAGTCTTGTTACGTCCAGGGGGAACCAATGTCCTTGCTATTTGAATGTCTGTTTGTATTTATTCTTACCTTTCACTGTTACTTTATGCTCGCCTGTTCCTGGATGGGTGAAAAGATCTATTTGTATGGAGACTTCACCCACTGGGTCATCCACACCAGAGCCTGATTAACAATTAAAACAGAAAGATAAAATACAGAAATTACGGGCTCATTATCTGACAAAGAGAAGGGATATCATTGCTGCATTTGTATCAAATTACTGTGTAAAATACTTATAAGAACTATGACATCAAAATAAATTGTTTTCATGCTTGAATACATTCCGATGTGATGTCATCCATGCATGACATTTCCACATATCACTCATGCATACATACTAATCAAAACCCAACATTAAGGAATACCTCAAGGACAGAATGCAAGGAGCCATGGCTGAGGAAACTATTGCTTTATTTGACTTCATGTGATTTTCAGTAATATGTAGTTACTATTGAATGATTTATGCATTCATTCCTAAAACTGTTAAATGCAGTAGATTACACCTTCTACTTCTAAGACTTTTTCCACAGAGTGTGCATAAAGGCATGAAAAAAAATGCTAACTGTGAAGGCTGGAGAACATTATAAAAGGGTCTAACACTAAAATACTCATGAGATCTAACTTACAAAGACCATCTTGCAGATATAAATGTTGACTGCAGGCACTGTAACATTAACATAGTTTTCATTACTGTAGTAACGTAGAAATATATGCCATTTTTCCAATTTGCAAATATAGATCCAAAGGTAATTAGTTTTTGAGTTCCAGGTTGCAGTAGGAATGTGGAGCAGCATTTCTTTAGATAAAATATTTGCTTACTTATGGGGCTGCCATTATTTTTAACCAACCTGTTCAGACATGTTATGACACACCTCCAGGACAGGTGGGGCCTCAGAGATAAGGATACTACCACTTGCCAAAATACTCTATTTTTCAATGTGTGCTAATGTTTTTCATGTTCACGCATGGGATGCAGCTTTCACTGGCTGGGCCAACATTTGTTGTCTATCCCGAACTAACCTTGAAAAGTGGTGGTGAGTGGCTTTTTTCAAGCGCTGCAGTCCTTGGCATGTAGGATCTGTCTTGTTGGTAAGATGATAGCATGTAGAATACTGTGATAGTCACAGATTTATATGTTACGACCATGTCAGGCTAGTGCTTCACTTGTCTACGGGACAACTCTTTCAATATTGGCACAAGCGCCCAGCTGTTACTAAGGGGGACTTTTCGAGTATTGTGTCCAGTGATTAGGTTGATGCTGGGTAATCCATACAGCTTCATTTTTTTTAGACTTCCTCGTAGTTTGATAAATCTAAGTGACTTTCTAGGCCATTATGTCAGAGAGCAGTTAAGAATCAACATGATTTCTACATCTGGAATCATACATAGGCCATATCAGTGTGGACAGCAATATCCTTCCCTGAAGTTGCTTCTGCCAGTCAGTAGTTTCGGCAGAGGGTTCAATTCTTTGCAAGTCAAATCACAAAATAAACATACAGCGAGTTATCTATATGCAACAACAATTATTAATTTGCAATGAATGTACTGACCATGTAGAATTTAATACATTTGTGAAAGTAGCTAAATCCAGTCAAACAAAACATTTTTCTATCCACATACATACTAAACACTGAATGACACAATAAGCATGTTAAATGTAATTTGCACAGCTGCCACTGGTTTCTGAATTAGCAGTCTGGCAGAATTTAAGGATTGGAAATATAACAGATTTAGAAACAAAATTATTCAGTTTGCCATATTTATTTTGTGAGTGACATCAATGACACTATTTCTTTCCTTTCTCCAGTCCTCATTCTTTCCTCTTTCCTCTTTATTCCATTCCCTGTTGAGGGCAAGTTAATAATCTATTCCAGGTTAATGTTTACACAGTCATTAAGAGCATAGAGAAGTGTCTAGGCAACTGAGTATATCTGTGATAGCTGCTTTCTTATTATGACTCATTTGTCAAATTCTCCCTGCATTCTTACAGCAAAATGCAATTAGAGTTCAGGCACTTTCACAGTGGCAGAACTTAAGACTGGAACTTGACGTGTTTAAACTTGAGTCAGATCAGTCCTGTCCTTGAAAAGATAATTTCTCTACATATATACATTGATATAACTGGAAAGTGGTTGATTATTATAGAATTAAACAAGGTGTGGCTGAAATCTAATGCTAAGTAGCAAAGTTCAGGTCAAACAAGATAAAAACCTATATAAAAACCAACAGAACTGCGGATGCTGTAAATCAGGAACAAAAACAAAGTTACTGGAAAAGCTCAGCAGGTCTGGCAGCATCTGTGAAGAAAAAAACAAAGTTAACGTTTCGGGTCTGGTGACCCTTCCTGAGGAATGTACTGACCATGTAGAATTTAATACATTTGTGATAGTAGCTAAATCCAGTCAAACAAAACATTCTTCTATCCACATAAATACTAAACACTGAATGACACAATAAGCATGTTAAATGTAATTTGCACAGCTGCCACTGGTTTCTGAATTAGCAGTCTAGCAGAATTTAAGGATTGGACCCGAAGGGTCACCGGACCCGAAACGTGAACTCTGTTTTCTCCTTCACAGATGCTGCCAGACCTGCTGAGCTTTTCCAGCAACTTTGTTTTTGTGCCTATATAAAGTCAGATTTATTTATAACAAAGATTCCAAAAGTTGTTGGGAAAGCTGAAGTGAAAATTAATCAATTTAGTATTGATATTTTAAAATCATTCCAATAGACAGTTTCCCAAATATTAACATTAGACCAAGGCACTCGAAAAGTTAATGGCAGAAACTGCCCTGTTGATCCTACAAAGTCCTCCTTACTAACATCTGGGGCTAGTGCTGAGCTTGGGAGAGCTATCTCACAGACTAGTCAAGCCTGACATAGTTCTACTCATGGAATCATACCTGACAGACAATGTCCCAGACACCACTGCCACCATCCCTGGATATGTCCTGGCCCAGTGGCAGGACAGACCCAGGAGTGGTGGCAGCACAGTGGCATAAAGTCGGGAGGGAGTTTTCATAGGTGTCCTCAACATTGATTCCACGCCTCACAGAGTCTCATGGCTTCAGATTAAGTATGGACAAGGAAACCTCCTGCCGGTTACCATGTACTATTCTCTCTCCGCTGATAATTGGCACAGGGCAGCACAGTGGATCAGTGGTTAGCACTGCTGGCTCACAGTGCAAAAAGATTTCACCTTCAGGTGACTGTCTGTGCAGAGTTTGCACATTCTTCCTGTGTCTGCGTGGGTTTCCTCCAGGTGCTCCAGTTTCCTCCCACAGTCCAAAGATGTGCAGATTGTGTGGATTAACTATGGTAATTTACCCCTCGTGTCCAGGGATGTGCAGACTAGGTGGATTAGCCATGGGAAATGCAGGGTCACAGGGACAGGATAGGAGAAATGGGTGTGGGTGGGATGCTCTTCAGAGGGCCAGTGTAGAACTGATGGCCAAATGGCCTGCTTCCACACTGTAGGGATTCTATGAATCAGTACTCTTACATGTTGAGCAATACTTGGAGGAAGCACTGAGGATGGCAAGGGCACAAATGTACTCTGGATAAGGGATTTCAATGCCCCCCATGATAGCAGCACTACTAATTGAGTTGGTCGGATCCTAAAGGGTATAACTGCTAGACTGGGTCTGTGGCAGGTGGTGAGGGAACCAACAAGAGGGAAAAACATGCTTGACCTCATCCTTATCAATCTGTAGGCTGCAAATGCATCTGTCTATGACAGTATCAGTAACAGTGACCACTGCACAGTCCTCGCAGAGACAAAGTTAGCAAAAAGGACTACCTGCATGCCAAACAGCATAAGTAACAAGTGACAGACAGAGCTAGGTGATCCACAACCAATGGGTCAGATCAAAGTTCTGCAATCCTATCACATCCAGTCTTGAATGGTAATGGACAATTAAGCAATTCACTGGAGGAAGAGACTCCATAAATATCCCCATCCTCAATGATGTAAGTGCTCAACAATTCAGAGTAAAAGTTCAGGCTGAAACATTTGCAACAATCTTCAGCCGGAAATGTTATGTGGATGATCTATCTCAGACTCCTCCAGTGGTCTCCACCATAACAGGTATCAGTCTTTAGTCAATTTGATTCACTCTATGTGATATGAAGAAACAACTGGAGACACTGTATATTCCAGCAATTGTACTGAAGTCTTGTGCTCCAGAACTTGTCGCACCTCTAACCAAGCTCTTCCAGCACAGTTACAACACTGGTATATATCCGACATTGTGGAAAATTGCCCAGCAATGTCCTGTACACAAAAAAATGGACAAATCCAACCCAGCCAATTATGGCCCCATTAGTCTACATTGATCATCAATAAAGTGATGGAAGGTGACATCAACAGTCTTGTCAAGCAGCAGTTACTCAGCAATACACTGCTCAGTGACAGTTTGAGTTCGGCCAGGACCACTCAGCTCCTGACTTTTTTACTTGGTTCAAATATGGACAAAAGAGCTGAATTCCAGAGGTGAGGTGAGAGTGCCTGCCCTTGACATCAAGGTCACATTCGACAGAGTGTGGCATCAAGAAGTCCAAGCAAAACGGGAATCAACGGGTATCAAGGGGCAAACTCTCCGCTGGTTGGAGTCTTACGTGGCACATAGAAAGATAGTTGTGGGGTAGCATCCTAGGCCCACCCTTCTTTAGTTGTTTAATCAATGACCTTACCTCCTTACCTTCATCATAAGGGCAGAAGTGAGAACGTGCAATCATTGGTGAACAATGTTCAGGACCATTCATGACATTTCACATAATGAAGCGGTCCAAGTTCAAATACAACAAGATCTGGACAATATCCAGGCTGGCTGACAAATGACAAGTAAAATTTGTGCCATAAAAATGCTAGGCAACGACCATCTCCAATAAGAGACAATCTATCCACCACCCCATGACATTCCGAATGGTAGTTGGCCGGGTTCGATTTGTCCGGTTTCTTGTGTAGTATGTTTGCTGGATAAAATGTTGAGTATTGTTTAATAAAGTCTTTTGTATAAAGCTGAATCCCAGAACTGCATCTACCAGTCAGTTTTTCATTTCTAGTAGAATCCAATTTTATGCAGATCGTTTTAGTCTGTAAACCTAGATTTTAAGTTAGAATG